AGGGATGGAGCATGTCATGGCTCTTAGAAGTCTTTTCAGTTAAAAGTTCATGTCTCTCCCATTTGCAGTCAGTTGGCCAAAAGTAAGTCATGTATGTGCTACCTCCACAGGGAGGCATTATAAATTACGTGGGACAAGAGTGAATAATTTGGAACAGTAATACAATTTATCTCTCTGTCCTAAGGAAAAAACTCCCACATTTGAGAAAAGCTGTGCATGAAGATGTTAATTTAAAATTATTAATAATGATAAAAAGATATAAGCAGTAGTAATAAGGAATTTTATGGTATGTTCAGTGATTTATGCAGTTATTAAAGTGCCACTGTAATAACTAGCAACATAGGAAAATGGAATGTTAAGTGAAACAGCAGTGTACAGAGTGCATATACTCTTATCGGTGCAGCTATGTGTACACACGGTCATACATTTCTAAGAAAACTGAAGATGTAAAAATGGTAATAGTTATCTTAGGATGATGGGCTTCAGAGTGGTTTTTCATTTTTAAACTTGAACTTTTTATGGTGCTGTTATTTTATAATTAAAAATAATTTTGTGTTCTTAGAGGTTGTTTTTCATTCTAAAACTTATATACATTTATGAAAGAAATGTTGGCAACTACAGAAAATAGGATTAAAAAACAAATTCTTGACCTGTTCCCCCAGATCACCACAGTAATTATTTTAGGTGTCTTAAAAAAAAGCATGTTAAAAAAATGTTTACCAGATTAACCTTGTATTGTGTTGTCGTGTTTCATTTCAGGACCTGAAAATCCTTGGTTGGTCCAAGCTTATGTTTCAGCAGCTAAACACCCATTTGCTTCTGTGGTGGCTCAGGAGGTTTTCCAGAGTGGGATCATTCCCTCAGATACGGACTTCCGCATCTACAGGGACTTTGGGAACATTCCAGGTATTCTGTCAGTTGTTACGGGCTTTTGTGTGACCATGGTTAATCAGAAACAAGTTTACTTTCTGGAAGTTTGTGAGTAAATAGCATTTTCTGAGAGCAGATTATCTGTATGGGAACAGTATATTCTGACTCACTGAAAGAGAGTTCCTGACAGTTTCCTTTTCTTTAAACACCTGTCTAATTTAAGTGCATCCCTTTGCTAGAACATGTCCTCTTGCCCCACAGTGGGACAGAAGAACAGGGGAGAACTATTGAGCACTTCATCCCCAGAAGATGGTAATAGATCCCTCCGGGGTCTTTTCCGTTGTTACCTTGCTTTGCCAGCTGCCCTGGGGGCTTGTACAGAATATCTGATGTTAAAATTTGGCTCTGGCCTGACAAGGATGTAAATGGCAAAGTTCTGATTCCTCTCCCTTGCCGTGTGACTTGCGATGCCCCATTATGTATTGAATTATGTTCCATAGCTGTAGATTCTGTGAGAATTTCAAAGAGAATCTGCATCATTCATTCCTAAATGTGACGAAGCAGTCATGCCACTGCTTGACATTTTGTCTGACTTTAGGAACTTAATACATTAAACAAACAGGCCTAAAGCAAAGTTGATCTTTAAAGCAAAATGACTTTTTTTCCCCTGTATGTCTTAGGAATAGACTTAGCTTTTATTGAGAATGGATACATTTATCACACCAAGTATGACACAGCGGACAGAATCCTAACAGACTCCATTCAGAGAGCAGGTTGGTATTCTAATTTAGACTTTTGACATACGGTAAGATGGAATATCATGGATGACCTGTAAACCTATAGATATTCTATGTCCTGTGCATTTGAGAGGCAGTGTGTGGTGTGAATGAGCTGGGGCTTTGGAGTTAGATGAGGCTTTGAATTTTAGCTCTGAAGTCTAGTTCAGCAATGAAGAACATAGGACTCGTCATCTTGAGGAACATGAAAGGGAGTTGACCCAGGGTTATGGTAGGATTGCTGAGCGATGGCCGTGTAGCCAAAGTGGAAGCTATACATTGGAGTTGGCACCAGCACATGTTTGAACAGCTTGCCCGGGTGTGGAAAAGTTACATAGATCCAAGGTTGAGTGGTGAGGGCAAGTGAGCGGGTTATAGGACCGGTATCAGGACAAGGGGCAAGGGAGTCGAAGTGTTTTCCAGAGAGATCTGTAGGAGTCAGGGGAGGTGAGCCTGATGCTGAGCCTTGAAAACAGTTGGTAGGACTTGGCCCAGTGGAAAAGAGACGATGTTCCAAGTAAGCACGGCACGACGTGGGGAGTGGTGTGTGTATGAGGGGCTGTTGGTGAGCAGGCTGTTAGACTACAGTATAAACGAAGGTCACATTTTCAGAAATAGAGGGAAATGAGGTAGGAGCATATCGGGGTGAAGAAGGCTTTAAAAATCAGCAAGAAGGTGCTGTACGAATAAGGAATCACTGAAGGGCTCAGTACATAAATGAACGGTGGTTTAAAATACTGTCAGCCTCATGGTGCAGAGAGGAGTGGACGGTGGAGAAGGAGAGCGAGCCTGGAGTCAGAGCTGTTCTGGCAATAATTTTAGTGTGGAAAAACGAGACTGGTGTTGACAAAAGATAGAAACAAAAGCGGGGGGTGGGCTGGTGGGAAATTAGGTACAATTTGAATGTAAATCCAACAGGATCTGACAGGGTAGATAGAAGGGATAAATCCGATGGACGGCAGCAAAGATGACTGCAGAGTAGCTGGCTGGGTGAGATGGCGCTACTGACCATCACGGGGATGTGGGTAGGCGGCCCCATGTGAGCTCTGTCAGATGTAAGACAGAGGGCCTATGAACCACCCAGATGAAAATACAGGTGCAGTGTCAGAGCTCTGCCAGAACTGGGTATTTGGGTTTGGAAATTAAAGGCATAGAGAAAAGCACAGAAGTATGGAGCACGGTAATGTTTTTGGAAGAGTGAAGCATAGGTGGAGAACTAACCTGAGCTTTGGGGAAGACACATTTTAAGGCCAAGAAAGAAGCCAATGAAGGAAATTCCATGGTAAGACAGTGTGGTGTCTTCAGTGAAAAGAAGAGGAAGTACAGGATGGGAAGAAGTGCCAGTCATTCAAGACTTCTTAAGTTCAAGCTCATTCAGGTGTTGATTGATACAACAGAATTTCCTGGCAGCCTCTGACGTGCTGGGTTCTGCCTAGTAATGACTCTCCCAGCTCTCCAGCTTCATTGCTGAGTACGCTTTCCTCATTCTGGGACTTCTTTTTTTTCCTATTTGGAACTTTCCCTCCCTGGGGCCTTCCTCTAGACGGTTGTCTTAGTCTGGACAAGCTCTGCCCCGCTGTAGCTCCTGTCCGTCCTTTAGCTATAAATACTGCTTCCTTGGGATGCTCCCCTGATTTCTCAGATGCCATCAGTCTCCCATGATGTATTCCGAGGGGATTCTCTCCTTATTTCTCTTTCTAAATTGAGATATCATTGACACATTCCTTATTAATTCTTAACACGTGTAATAATTGTTTAGTGTCTGAAAGCTTCACAAGGGGCCTTTATCTTTTGTTTGCCCACTGAATTTCTCATAGCTAGAGCAGTGTCTGCTACATTTATATATTAAATGAATAGGGACTGAGAAGCCGCTGTTGGGTTTGTCAGCAGTGAGGGTATAACTGATCGGAGAATAGCTCTAATAGAAGGGAAAGGATGAGGGCCAGGTGGCTGAGCTTCAAAGAGGAGAGGAAAGAATAGGGGGCTTGGACCTCATCTGAGAAATTTAGTAAGAAAAGGGAGAGCAGTGGGATGGTAGAAAGCTATCTCTGTTCACAGTCTTTCTAGGTATTTCTTTACTCAAACAGTGGATGGTTTATTAAACTGTGTTACCTTTCTTTTATCTTTTTCTTTTCTTTTTCACTAATAGGCGACAACATTTTAGCAGTTCTTAAATATCTAGCCACGTCTGATATGTTGGCTGCTGCTTCTGAGTATCAACATGGAAACATGGTCTTCTTTGATGTGCTTGGCCTGTTTGTCATCGCCTACCCTTATCGTGTTGGCTTGATCATTAACTACATGGTGATAACGGCTGTTGCTTTATACCTGGGAAGGAAATTGTTGCAGCCCAAACATAAGTGTAAGTATTTTCCTCTACAACTACAATACTGGCATAGGTATAGAATTTGCCTGAAGTTTTTTTGTCAGTTTGCTTATATCTTCCCAAGAGATTAAAAAAAATCTTAAGGAAAATAACATTTGTTTTATACTGTTATGAGACATTTCTAAATGGATGTCAGGTTGATAGGATCATTAATCTTGGTGAGCAGGCAGTTTTTATGTACTTAGGCACTTCACGGAAGTGCCATAAAAGCTTTTGGAAAGTGGTTTGTAAAGATTGATTTTAGTGAAAAGTCTCACTAAAAAGTCTTGTCCTCACTATAGACCAGTAGTTCTGAAGTGTGAATGAGCTGCTGCTGGTTGAATTGGTCTCTTTCTGCTTGAAATGTGTTATAGTTGGTGGTACAGTTTTCTAACTTGGTGTGTGCTGTTACAAGATAAAATATCTAGCAGCAGTTTAAATAATCCTTTATCACTATTTTCTCAAGCTTCTTCTCTTCCCACATTCGCTTCTTTTAGCAAGATTTTACATGGAACTTTGCTGTTATTTTGGTACGCAAAGCGCCCCAGAGGTGATGAAGGTTAAGAGTGCCCACTTGCCTAGTCAGCAGTGTATCTGAACTCTTCCTGAAGACGTCTCTCTTTGAATCTTTTGTGCCCACAGACTCTCAGTAAATGTTAATACTTGAATATTATTTGTTGATGCCTTCCCTGTTCTAGTGTTTAACAAACCTCACCCCTAGGGAATTTCAGTATTTTCAGTTACAGTGGTGAATTTTTTGTTTTAACGCGTTTGCCTCTTAAATTCTGCTGACGGGTGGTGAAATTGATTTGGTAAAGACAGTGATCTCCACTTCGTGTTTTCTCTCCATTAGCTGCAAGCTACACGAAGGACTTCTTCTGTGGCCTTGGCATCACTCTGATAAGCTGGTTCACTAGCTTGGTCACTGTGCTCATTATAGCAGTGTTCATCTCTCTTATTGGACAGTCTCTCTCATGGTATAACCACTTCTATGTCTCCGTTTGTCTGTATGGAACTGCTGCTGTAACCAAAATAATATTCATACATACCCTCGCAAAAAGATTTTATTACGTGGTAAGTGTCGGGCATATTTATTGACTTCTTTTTGCTGCCTTCAAGGATTGAAGACAAACTCAGGTGGGGTTCATTGTATTTGGCCTTTTGAACTATCAAAAATTGGCATAGCATAGAAACTTGGCTGTGTTGACTTTCTGGAAGGCTTTTTATTCTGAGGGTTTTGTTGCAAATTTCAAATGAGGTTATAAAGCTGCAAACAGTATTTTGGGTGTTGGTGACAGAAAGGTGTGTTAGCACAGCCTCTGCCTCTGCTGAATCTTCTGTAGTTTTTGTAACCAGGCTGTTGAATCAACCAGCCCTCCCTGGGATCATCTGGTTACTTATGTTTGAATAGCTCTTTTCTCCTCTGAATTGTGCACTCCATGAAGGTGTGGATTGTTTTGTTCATTAGCCCTTGTGCTTAGGCAGTGTCTGACACAGAGCACTGACACACGGTATTTGCTGCCTGAAAAAATGTGCAGTTTCCTTTTCAGTTTCCTTCACTTTTTTTTTTTAAACTTTGATGCAGATTCTGACAGCATGCATATATGATGTGAGGGTTAGTGACACATTGCTAAGGAAGAAAGGGAAGGGAGATAGGGTTCCCAGATGATTTATGCTGACTTAGAGAACTTAGCATATTGTTAGGGTTTCAACTGTATGCATTTGTCTGGTAAAGACAAAATTAGGAATTAGAGTTATGAGATAATAGGACTAAAATTATAGTGAGATAGTAAGCTGTAGTTTCTGATTTTCTAAGAGAGTTAGAGGGAAAATCTTTTAGTTCCACCATTTTCAAGACAGCCAGTGTACACCTGTTTTTTTAATTTGTCCTTCTGAGGATTAGAATGGAGACATGGAAGACTATAATTCAGTATTCTGCTACAAGGATGTGTTTGGTACCTGAGCCTTAGTCTCATTTTCAGTTCATGTTGGGATATGGTCTGAGGGCCCTTTTCTGTTAGCAGGCCGTATTGAAGAAAGGTTCTTTGGGGTTAGCCACCCATTTATGGTTGAGCCAATACTTGTATCTTAGTGACTTCAGTTTACAAAAGAATTACACCGTGGGGCTCAATTTCACATGATTACTCTTAGTGCAGTGGGATGTAACCAGAGTGTGGCTGACTGTCGTTGATGTGGCATTGGGGTGACAGTGGGGGGTGAGACAGAAATGCTTAGTAAAATTCCACTTACTGTGACTAATTTCAGTTGTGCAGTCATAAAACTGTGGGCTGAAGGCACAATGGAAAGAGTAATGTGTTTCATTTTCATTTCACAAGTACTCTTTGAATACCCAGTGGGCATGGTACCATGCTGAGGCCTGGTACAGAGGTTCGTAAGGATGTGGTCTTTCTTCAAGGAGCTCGCAGTTTCATTTGGGAAGACAGGGAAACCACAGTGATTAGAGGACTTAGGGATGAAGTGAAATAGAGTGACATAGTCACAGTGCTAGGAATATGGGGCCAGGAGAGATGAATTTTGTTTGTGGAAGTTGGGAAGTATCCACCGAAGGAGGTGGTGACATTTGAAATGGGTTTTTGAGGACTGAGTAGAAGCGTGCCAGAAAGAGAGCAGATCAGTGGGCAGTTAGAGGTGGGAATGCATGCGAGACATTCGGTCATAGTCACTAAAAGCTCAGGGTGGTGAAGGTCAGGTTGATAGCACAGTACGTGGGAAAGCAGGCCAGGGCAAAGTTGGAGCGTGACCCTCAAAATCACTGGGGCCACAATTAAAAATTTCTAAGTAGGATTTTAAGTGAGAGAGTCTGGTGATTTAGTAAGAACTGTGGTAGCAGTGGATAGAATGGATTGGAAGGGGTAGAGGCGTGCAGGGATCACAGAGATGGGTAGAAAGGAGGTAGATTTGAAGGTGTTTGGGTTTTAGGTACAGTGTTGGAACAGTGTAAAACATTCTGTTATTACAGTCTTCATCATTGAGATTGTTGTATTTAAATATCTGAATGGAATTGGGCTTCACATTGAATCCTCAGACTCATTTTATTCTCTTTAAAGATCATGACTCTATTAACAGTGTGGAACATCTAATTATTTAACGGCGAGAGCCTATCTTTCATTGTCCAAAGGAGGTTTGTCAAGTGAACTTTAACTTGTTTTGAAAACATGACTGAAACTCTTTTGAGCTCTTGAGATAGAGTCCCTTATGACAAACATGCCCTGGACAATACAGAAATCAGAAGGCAGAGGAGAGAAAAGCTTAATATATCTATTTCAATTTTGATATTTCTGCACTGAAATTACAACTTTCGTGTTTACATGAATAGAATCTCTGGTACTGATGTTAAAATGTATTAAGTTCATATGGCAATTTTCTTCTGAATAACTCAAGATACTACACAGGAATCCTCAGACTTCAAAGATTAAAAAATATAGATCAGATTTTATCACATGAAGGAACCAGGAATCCAGGACGGGGGCAAAGTTAGAGATAGAAAAGACTCAGCAATCCAGCAAAACCCTCATGGCCCTGTGCTCTAAAGGCCCTGCAGTTCTCCAGGTGTGCTGTTGGTGGTGCTGCAGCAGCTTGTACTGTTCTTCACAGGTCATTTCTCTTATTTGCTTGAAATTCTTTGGAAGTTGCATGAATAGAAGAACTTACAGAGTGAAAGTTTTTAAGAGAGGTCTTTCTTTTATTTAGAACATTTCCAAAGGTTACTTTTAACCTTGTAAAGGGAAAGCACAGATTATATATACAAGTAATGATGTTTTCACCCATCTTGTTAAATTAAATTCCCCTTTCCTGTGCAGCAATTTGAATTTATTATTTCATGATGGGAGATAGCTTTGTCAGTGTTTACATTAAAACTTAAAGGTTAGACCCTGCTCAAAACAAAATGTGGCTTTCCTATGCAGTGGAAATTATGCTGTAATAGAAGATCTTTATGAGTGGCCCATGAATGAGACTCCTTGTGTATTTTGTTCTTTCTTTCAGAATGCCAGTGACCAGTATCTGGGAGAAGTGTTTTTTGATGTCTCGCTGTTCGTGCACTGTGGGTTCCTCACCGTTCTCACTTACCAGGGGCTCTGCTCGGCATTTATTAGCGCCATCTGGGTGGTGTTTCCATTGCTCACAAAGCTTTGTGTGCACAAGGACTTTAAGCGGCATGGTAGGGTATTTTTGGTTGCAATGCAAATGGGAAATACCTTAAAAGATATAAGGCTTCCTTCCTTATTTGATTTTTTGGGTAGGCTTTCTGAATTGTTGTTACTTTTAAAATTTTTCAAGTCATGTAGATTTTCATCTTGTACCTTACACTCCAGCATTCTCATGCAGATGAGCGCATGGTAATATATTATCTACGTGTTTTGTTTTCTTTTTTGGATCTTACCGTCTCTGAGTCATAGTGTTTTATCTCACTAGGTAACACATACCAGGCAGGAGTCACACTAACCTAATTTCTGTTGGGCGCAGAGGTGTACCAGTACTATAAAAAGCTGTGCTCTCACTGCAGAATTTCAGAGATGTGTATTTCCTTTCTCTTTTTCCCTAGGTGCTGGAGGAAAATTTATTGCCTTCTACCTTTTGGGGATGTTTATTCCTTACCTGTACGCACTGTACCTCATCTGGGCCGTATTTGAGATGTTTACCCCTATCCTCGGGAGGAGTGGTTCTGAAATTCCACCTGATGTTGTGCTGGCTTCTATTTTGGCTGGTTGTACAATGACTCTCTCATCCTATTTTGTAAGGAAAAGAAATTTTTTTTAATTTCCTTTCTTCATTTTAGATAGAAATGTGTGATGATTTTAGCTGTTCTGCTTATACTCTTAAAGCAAAAGAACTGGTGAATGGCTGGGCGTATTGCGGGTTCAGTATGGTAAGAAGATGTAGAATGGGTTTTTTGTTGTTATTTTTGCCTCCTCATCCTCCAGTTACAGTTCTTTTCAGATAGCTTTCCAAGTACCTGAATGTGAATGTGTGGAACAAAAACCAGATGAGAACTGGTAGAGATCACTTGGTGAATTTTTAGAATGATTCCTAACAGTGTGTTTTGCACTTACTAATTAGAGGCAAATGTTAATAAATGCACGGTAGTTTCATTAGTGCTGTTAGAGTTGGTGAAGGAAGACTAACTCCGGTGAGGATTTTTCCATTGTCATTTCTGGCCTCGCTGTTAGCACAGCGAAGTTCATTAATTGAGTCTGTCTCCTTAAGTGACTTACACTTACGACATCCAAACATGCCCTCATGTACCAAGTATTCTGCTGTGTCAGTGTTCTGTCCTTGTTAGAGAGAGTCCTACCTTTGCCATCTCTGCTGCTTTTCCCTGGAACTCTCTGGAGGGAAGAAGAGACATGATGCAGAGTTGACACTCAGACTGCCCTTTGTTGGAGCAAGCTCCAGGCAGAGTTTTGCTCTTTGCACGGTGCCAGCACTCTCCAGGACTCAGGCTTGGCCCTCCAGAGGAGGCAGATCTCTGTTTTGTGGTTCTTTTCATTGGAATTCCTAAGAATAAGAAGTATTTACAGAATATCCATAGGTACGCTCTGAGATTTGAAGCTAGGGGACCAAATAGAAAAAGTAGTTTTGACTTTATTATAGTTCTTTCCTCCGTGGAGATGATAGTGAGCTTTTTTCACATTGATATAGTGAAGGGCATCTCATGCGGAGGTTAGGATCTAGAGGCAGCGGGTAAGAATACCAAATGTATGGTCAGCACTATCCATGGAAGTCCCTTATAGCCAGTAAACAGCTGTGTGTGTGACTGCATATGTAGCCCTGTTGAGTAATTCTTACGCTCACTCTTGTCAGGCGTCAGCTGTCCTAGTCCTGAAAGAAATCTGAGCATTCCAGCCATTTCACCTTTAATATAATGACTAAGTCCTTACTGGCATTTGCAGGGATGGATGGAAAATTACAAAATGTCTTTTGATGCCTTTAAAGTTTACTTCTTCTGGTTTTAATATTAAGCCCTTAAATCCCCTGTACATCTTAATAGATAGGTTTGCTGTTGTACGGATTAAAGGAGATGTAATTTCATCATATGTAGATTAGGTTGTAATTTACAGTCAGCTATGTTGTGAACGGACCCCCGAGTGTATTTAAATTATAGTAAATGAATGAAAGTTACTGATGCTCATAAAAGATGATCAAAATGTGGGGAATTTTGTTTCTGTTCTATGTGAAAGGGGACAAAACGAACCCTGAAAACATCACTGTGGAAATTGAAAATGATCCCAAAGCATGGAAATCTTGGAATCCATGAGAAAGTGGATTAAAATATTTTATCTTCTAAATTATGTTTTATTAAGAAAGCTTTTGGAGAATGCCTCTTGGAATACTTTAACCCCTCATTTAATTTTCATTATAATGTGAAATAGCTCTGCTGCTCTTTGGTGCTGTGGGTGATCATTCTCAACATTATTTTCTTTTTCATGTGCAGCCCTGTTACAGATAGTGGCTTATTAATAGAGTGAGCCTTTTCTCCTTGGGTGATGGAGAAATGAACCACAGAGCATACTTCAGAGAGCTTTTCTTTTAGTCCTTGGGGATTTAGTAAGTATATTTGCTAGAAAGCAGTTAAATTAAATCACTGTCAAGTAATCAGTTAACAGGTTCCTCAGGTTACCCTGTGCTGGGGCTGTCACGGTCGTATTGACTAAGTGAGACTGCTGATAGGAGTGGGCTCAGGAGCAGAGAAACAGGCAGCACACGTTGGATATTCATGGTCCCTTCTCATGCTTCTTTTCATTTCACACCCATTTCAGAACCTAGAGTGATACAAGAAGTAATGTTTAAGACAAATGAAAGACAGTGAAATTTAAGACAGTGGGATCCAAACACACTGTCTCTGAGGCCATTGTCGTCTTCCTTCTCTTCCACTCTGATCGCCATTTCATTTACCACCATTACCAAACTCTCCAGAAGTGGGGTGGAAGAGGCAGAAGATGAGCCTCAGGATTTGGAGAAGAGAGAATGTGGCTGTGGAAACTATAGCTTAACCTGAAGTTTTAAGACAACTTTGGGTAATAGCAGGGCTGAGAATGGCAGGAACCATAGCATTAGGACAAGGAGATTTTCTTTTGACTAGAACACTCCTATATACCTAAACTTAACCAGCCTTCCAGTGCACGGGAACTCATTAGTTGGCAGGCTATTGTTCTAAGGAGCCACATTTAGTTTAATTTAATTTAATTTTACATGATTGCTAACTTTGATTAATGGCTACACCCACTCCTGCCTTGTAAAAAGAACAGAATGGTTCAAAGTTACACTGTGATGTGAGCGCAGGTTTGGTGTTTCTGACACAGCTGTACAAAAATGTTGGCACCAAATGCACATAAAAGGAGTTTTAAGGCTTAATAAAAATACAGACTAGTCATTTCTCAATGCAGCTTGGAGGTGAGAACAGGATGCTAAGAGTTAATCTTTCAAATACAAATGGCCTCCTCCGTCAGGTTCAAAGGAGCAAAAACGTGTCTTCTGAGGAGCCACATTTTAAATACTGGGACTGTTAGGAGAAATAGGGTCAGACAGGATAGCAAATTGTGTTTTGCTAACTCACTGCCTTAGTTGAGTCCTTGGGTACTTTGTTTGATTTCTGTGCTCCAGTGTAAAAATATGCTGGAGATTACCCTGATGGCATATTGTTACACTGAAGATATAAAATCTTTTAATTTCATAGAGTATATGGTAGGTTATGTTTGCTAAATATTTAGTTTTCATCTCATAAAAATATTTTCACATTCATGTTCTTCATTTTTCTACTTATTGACCCTAGAGGGTGGGCAATATGGGGGAGAAGGCAAAAACGGGAGCTGGGATTAGGTCATTGTTTCTCAGAGTGGCTCCTTCAGAACCCTTAAGGGATCAGTGGACATATTCTGTGAGTCATGTATGTCCCCAGCAGCTTTTAATTCAGTGACTTCATTACAATTTGAAAGCTAATATAAGGATTTTCTGGATGTCCATCTTGAGACTGAGCCACTTGCTTTTCCTGCCCAAGTTCAGACTTGTTGTTCTGATTGTGTTGGCTTTGGTTAACTCAGCACTGAGAGGGGCAGAATTACTCTTGCTGCAGTTTTTCCTGATACACAGGTCCACAGGCAGAGTCTTGAAGAGACATCTAAACGCTTATTTAGATGCATCCAGCACTTGGGCACATTATGAAAGCATTATGGGTAGAACTTGAGTTTTGTTGAAATAAGCCTGTTTATGCTTAAAAGCTTCATTTGGGTCTTTAATAAAAGCCTGATGTCATGTTTGGTACAGTTAAATAGTTTCCTGTGCAGCGTTAACACAGGGCATTTATAGAACCGGAAATAAAATAAGGTCATGGTTTGACTGATATTGGATGTACATCCTCTAGTCTCTCTGCTGACTGAGCAGAGAGTTTCCTTTTTCCCTCTTGCCGTCTAGGTTCCTGTCAAAGGCACCCTCCTGGCAGATGGGGGGCACCTCCCACTTACATATGAAGGCTCTAACTTGTCATGGAAACCCCTTATAATTAGTGCTTTGCTTACTAGGAGTTGGAGTATATTAGCACATGCCGGTACATGTTCTTCATTATCTGTCAGATAATACTTGTTACAAAACAGTAAAATCACCTTTCTGCCAATAGTAATTTTTCTGGTTTTGTGTTTTAGATTAACTTCATCTACCTTGCCAAAAGCACAAAAAGAACCATGCTAACTTTAACTTTGGTATGTACAATTACATTCCTCCTCGTCTGCAGTGGAACTTTTTTCCCATATAGCTCCAACCCTGCCAGTCCAAAGCCAAAGAGAGTGTTTCTTCAGGTAAGAGCAGTTTTGCGTGAGCTATTTGAGATTCTGGAAAGGAAAGGCTGATGTGTTTTCAGCCTCATTAGTCAACAGTGAATTGGAAATGTCTGCTTGTTACTGTTCACATTACAGAAATGCACCTACTTGGAAAGACAAGAGCAGAGATGTATCATGAGCTTTTGGAAGTACAGATTGTAAGAATGTCTGCAGGCTGGGTGAAAATATGAACCCCCGTCAACTGGCAAAATAAAAGATATTTTAAAATGCTGGTAGGATTGATCTTAGGTATTGTTCAAAGTAATATGTGGTAACCAAAATCTAATAATTTAGGGATTAATATAATGAGATTTAGAATTTTCTTAGATTTCAGCTTTTTCTGTAAGCTTTTTAGAGCTGTTAAGCAGGAAAAAGAACTAAGTCACCTTATTTCCAGTCGTCTTCTGTTAGAAGGAATGGAATGGCCAAACCGAAAAGCCAAGAGTCATAACCTAGATAATTATTCAAGGACTTGAAAAAGTAATAATAATATTTGAACATAAATATCAGATTTTGAGAAAGAGCCAGCTGTTCCTTGTTTTTGTTTAGTCCTATAGGATACAGCAATACAAAACCTTTAGAGAACAGTAGCTGGTTTTTAGGAAATTCATTGTTTTCAGTGACTTGCTAATTTTTATAATTAAATTAGTAGTAGTTAGGGAAAGCTACATTTTTATTTTTAAAAACTCCTGTTCTGATTTGTTTTGGGGTTTTCTTGATCCCTAGTGCCAGAAGTTGGCAAAGTTTTCCAGTAAAAATCCAGACGGTAGATATTTTAGGCTCTGCTAGCCATGTAGTCTCTGTTGCAGCTACTCCATTTTTACAGAGAGAAAGCAGCCATAGACAGTGCCAGAGAATGAATGTGGCCGTGTTCCAATAAAGCTTTATTTATAAAAATGGTAGTGGACAATTTGGCCTGTGGGGTAGGGTTTGCCCCTGGCCTTTGAGTCCTTTTTCTATTCCTGTTTGATATTCTTCAGGCTGGTTTCAGCTGTTAATAGAGCTATTCCAGATGGAGCATGGTGCCTTCTCAGAGAATTCTGTTAGGCACAAGTCTGTCATCTAGCGGTGAGCTGTGATTCCTGTTTTTCTCTGCACACAAATTAGCTTCTTGTAACACTGAAAGGGGTGTGTGTGTTTCTTTTAGAATGTATTTAAGTCCTTATCTAAAAGGAGTTCTAGTGCTCATGTCTTTTAAACCTGAAATAGGTTTTCAAAAAATTGTATATAAAATTTAAATATAGAAATATATTTGTAAGAAATAGTAAAACAGTCATCTGAATATTCGAGTTTACGAGAGAGAACATTAGAAAAGTTCCTTAGAAAACCCTAATGTTCCCTTCTTATTTTAAATATATTTTGTATTGAAGCACAGTCAGTTTACAGTGTTGTGTCAGTTTCTGGTGTACAGCACAATACTTCAGTCACATAGGAACACACATACATTCGTTCTCATATTCTTCGCCATAGGTTCCTGTAAGATACTGAATATGGTTTAGTGCTCCCTTCTTGATGCCAATTCTTTTCCTCCTTTCCCACCTCCCAGAGTACTCACTCACAATCTTAATGTTTGGACTTAATCATTACCTTACTTTAACCACATATGTATGAATCTCTAAATAACAACATATAGTTTTGCCTATTTTTGAACTTCTTTCAGTTAAAGCCATACCATAAATACTCCTTGGTAACTTTTTTTTTTCACCCAGCAACACGCCAGTCTTCCAGGTTTATTTGTGTTACTGTAGTTCATTATTTTTTATTGCTGAATAGAAATCTGTTGTAGGATGGTGCCCCAATTTATTTGCCCATTCTACTGTTAGTAAACATTTGGGTTGTTGCCAGTGTTCGCTAATACGGACAATTCAGAACCAACACACTCTTGTACCTTGCTAGTTTCTCTAACGTCCATATTCGGGAGTGGAGTTGCTGGACTGGAGAATATGGGCACATTAACTGTATTAGGTAACGCTGAGCAGTCTCCCAAAGTGATTGTGGCAGCAGCCTGTGA